AAAAAAAAAAAAAAAAAATATTCTGGCGGTGCAATTAAAATATAACAAAAAACCGCGGTTCTTGAAAAGTAATCGCACACGCAGATAGAATCGACAATGTAAAGCGCTAATTGATTTAAAATCACGCTACGTGTTAACTCAGATTTGCATAACATAGTTCAATTATTGTCGCGAGTCCTACATTCTCTGATATCTCAGCATCGGAAATTGGACTCGCTGAAATCATATTAACTCCCAGATTACTGATACCATTATCCGATATACAAACCGGATGCACCAATAAATCTGACCTTTATTGAACTAAAAAAATAATCATTTTAAACGGTCAATTTCTCGCGCGGTATCATTCACCAAATATTGCTTGCATTTGCGACAGTTAATTATAGAATGTTGATTCAATTAACCGCAATTCGCGCTGCGCTCTCTCTCTCTCTCTCTCTCACCTTCTCACATAACACACACACATACATTCTCTCTCTCGTATCTGATTAGATTATATTAGCATTATGTTATGTATACCAGCCAGAGATTTGTATTCTATCTTTAAGCCTTTCTTATTGTTTCATGACAGTGTTCATCGATCGTGAATAAAATATAAGTTTAAGCGTTTAGTTTTGATAGGACTTTGAAATGCGAAATAAACGCTGTCTTCTCGAGGAGAGATTTACCGGCTTACACATCGACTCAGGATTCGATTAACGAATCACCATTTAAATCGAATTTCCTTGCGGGACGTGTCGCAAGTGCACTCGACTTTTCCCGTTTTGTTTGTCGCACGAGCACTTGTGCGATCGTTTTTTTTTTTTTTTTTCACCGCGCTTCCAATTAACGTTCCCGCGCACGCGGCTAAGTACCTAGTTTACATATGCGTCTGGGATGGGCATTTCCGGCATTAAACCGCTCTTTTTAAGTTCGACACTGCGTGAGCAATATCGGCGAAAAGATTTTCGTTTTTTTTTTTTTTTAAGCGAACGTTGAAAACTAGAAAAAAATGCAGAAAAGTTTTGTTTTTACGCGCGTTGCACATATGTACAAAAACTCGCAACTCGCTCATATCGAAGAAATTAGAAATATAAATTAGAATATATATATATATGTATATATGTACGTATTTATACAAGGATTGTATTTTTATTAATAATTACAAAAAATTATATTCAAAGTACGTAATAATATGTGTATTCCCTCGATTAAACTAAGAAAAATATAGGTAATTATTATTATTTAAACAACGTGAAATTTTTGGTCAATGAGAGCTATACGCTGGATGTTTGTCGCGTATATATATAATATATATATACACAAAAAAAAAGTACACGACAAACATCCAGCGTATGGCTCTCATTGACCAAAACTTTCACATTGTTTGAATTTCAAGAGCCTTAAAATTCTTTATTATTATTCAATTAATTATCAATTTTATTTTTAATTGTTATTTAATTACAATTATTATTTTTCCTTTAGTATTATCACACTTTGTGTAAATATAAATAAAACTACAACGTATTTATTCAGAAAATTTTGTTTTCAGAGGAAGATATTACTTCGAAGAAATGTTAATTTATTTAGAAATAAATTCGATTACATTTATTTTCTTTGATTTTCAAAATTACATTTCAATCAGCATCACACATTCGGAGTACACATGAATGTCAATCGAACAGAATTATTTATCTGTTAGGACAGTTAAATGACTCTGAAATCTCACGACTATTGTGCAAACGAACGCAGAAGTAAATTTCAATATCAAATTTTTGTAATTCTACAAGCTTACGTACTAATAAGAATATTTGCAGTAAATTTATTTATATTATATCTTATAGAGTGTCGAAAAATTCGTGTGTGTGTGTGTATATTCGTGACAACTTAACGACCGGTTAATTTATCGCTTTGAATCGGTTTGACAACGTGTGTGCGACAACGGTAATTCGCTCCGCAGGATCGTCGTTGTGGGAATTCGGAATTACGATTTGCAGCACGTGAGCTGCAAACCAATCGCGCGCAGCTATTATTTAGCGGGCGTTAAAGCAACGCGAGCGAAGCTAAGAAGTTTATGCGCCAAGGGCGGATTTCATCGCTTTCGCATTAATCCCGTTTTAATCCTCATAAAGTTTTAACGATCGCCCGTGCGCGCGCGGTCATCGTGATTGAAAATCTTCTATAAAATCTCAGCCGTTGTGTGTGTGTGTGTGTGTAATAATAAACCACGAATTTTTATAGCGACTGCAATTTAAATTTATGCGCTAACAAACAGCGCAATACGCGCGTGCATGCGCTCAGGCGAGCAAACAGATCGGATCGATATATCTCGCGAAGAGAATGCGGTAGTGTTTCGAGCCGTTGTCAGTAATTTTGGGGATCGCACTGACGGCTGACTTATGTATTTGTCCCCGTCGCGCAGCTCGAGGCGGTACAAGCTTTAAATTGATTTAGATAAAAAAATTTTTTTTTATCTCTCATTTACAATCCGATCTCAGCTTATATTTTTCTATCTATTTTCTATCTGTAGGTATATATATAGTTTTTTTCTTTCATATAATTTTTTATAATAATTCTTCTCTCATGTTCCTGGAGAGAACTAAAAGCGAAACATTGTTTTGCGCTCTTGTTAGCTCGTCAAATAATACGATGTTTCTTTAATGTCCATTTGAGGTGTATTGTTAATTGCTTTGCTCAAGCAAAAAAGCCTCTCCGCTTTTCGAATAAATTTCTCTTCTGACGTAAAAGCGCTTTTATCCGAACCGGCGCGTACTTTTTTTCTTTCTTTTTTTTTCTCTCTTTCTCTCTCTCTTTCTCTCTCTTTCTCTCTTCCTGTTTCTTTATTTTTTATTTTTTTTATTATAGCCTGTAAACAATATTACCCGAACTTTCAAAGTACGTCGTGTAATATTTCGGCGCAACAAAGGTGAGAAGATATTGTTGAAGTTCAGAAAATTTCATCAAGCGCCGCTAAAAGACGTTCGTTTAACAGCGCATATAACAGGAAATGTCGTCGTGACGTGCTGCAAGTTTTATACTCTCTAGGATTCGATTTCCTCTCAGTGTCTCCGAAATCTTCCGATACGGCGAACTTCTTGTGCGTATATATATTTCACGTTCCCTTTATGGAGACAAGAAAGTCGAGTTGTTCGTGCACGGCAAGCAGATATAACACAAGCGGTCCGATAAGGGCATTGAATATGCGGCCGCCCTTCTTCGATAAAAGCCAAGAACCCGAGCAAGAATTTTCATGTGTTGCTTATCGGCGCAGCCTCCGCGAAGACGACGATGGCCTCCTGACGAGGAGCAAACTGTCGTCGTTAGCGAGGCGACGCCCTCGATAATAATATTCCCCCGAGGGGATTGCTTTCAATGGCATCGAAAAGTCGATCACGGGTGCCATGAAAAATTTGTGGCCTGATTCGGCAGCCACGTCGAAACCTCGACGTGCTGTTTGTCGAACGATTGAAAGAGACGAAAATTTTCCCGAAAATGTTACACACACACACAAGTCCCCGGAGAAATCTGCGACATTAATTTGACGCGTATTTATTTATACAACGCGTGAAAAATATATGTACATACGTGAAAGAAACAATGTTCTACAAGCAATTTTTTTCTGCCCCAAGCAATTCTATGCTTTAATTTTAATAGTTTTGTAACAGTGCGTGTTTAAATTTGCAATTTATTCTTAGAATGTTTAATTTTACACATAAAAAAAATACGCAATAATCGGATACGCGCGCATCCTTTTGGCTTTAGATTACGCTGTGGCGTAATCTAAAAACAAATGGCCGCGATGCCGCAAACAAACGTAAACAACGACGTAAACACACGGCACAACAGATTGCAATAACTTCGCCGCGTAATGACAGAGCAACAATCTCCGCAATCGAATTACGTTGGCGAGGAATTAAGGATGCGGACAAAGCGAAGTACAATTAACAAACACGCCTCACCTATAACCGCGTAATAGCCGCTGTTAAAACACCCCCGTAAGCGATGCATTCTGTTTTCGTGGCAAAATGCAAGTCACCGCGTGATTTTGCATACGACATAGATTTATACTCGTACTGTATTTATGTCTTTATGAGTCTGAAAGGAAAACTTTCGAAAAATTAA